GCACAGCTCAGGGCATGGTTCAGGGCACAGCTCAGGGCACTGCTCAGGGCATGGTTCAGGGCTAAAGGCACGGCTCAGGGCATGGCTCAGAGCTCAGGGCATGGCTCAGGGCATGGCTCAGGGCTCAGGGCACAGCTCAGAGCATGGCTCAGGGCACAGGGCACACTTCAGGGCAGGGCTCAGGGGGGACAAGGCACAGCTCAGGGCATGGCTCAGGGCACAGCTCAAAGTTCAGGGCTTAGGGCACAGCTCAGGGCTCAGGGCACAGCTCAGGGGGGACAGGGGACTCAGGGTATGGCTCAGGGGGCACAGTGAACAGCTCAGGGCACAGGATGGGACAGCTCAGGGGGGAGAGGAAAGAGGAGGGGACAGAGGAGAGGAGGTGACACAGGAGAGAGGAGAGGACAGGTGACAGTTTCAGGGGAGAGGAGAGGACAGGAGAGAGGAGGTGACAAGGAGGGAGAAGGTGCTCAGAATAGAGGAGGTGACAAGAGAGAGGAGGTGACAGGAGAGGAGAGGAGAGAGGAGAGGAGGTGACAGGAGAGAGGAGCTGACACAGGAGAGAACAGGAGAGAGGAGGGGACAGGAGAGAGGAGCTGACACAGGAGAGAGGAGGGGACAGGAGAAAGGAGCTGACACAGGAGAGAAGAGGTGACAGGAGAGGAGGTGACAGGAGAGAGGAGCTGACACAGGAGAGAGCAGGGGACAGGAGAGAGGAGCTGGCAGGGGACAGGAGAGAGGGAGGAGGTGCCCAGGGGACAGTTCCAGGAGAGAGGAGGTGCTCAGAACAGAGGAGGTGACAGCGGACAGGAGGGAGAAAGGCCTGAGGTTGTCACCCTAGCTGAGAGGAGCTGTCAGCCCCAAGAAATGACACCGAGCTGTCCCTTAGCCCCTTGCAGTGCTCCCCACTGGCCTTACCTGCTGGCAGAGGTGCCCAGGTGAGGGGTGCCCCCCATGCCCCCTCAGCCCCCCCAGGGCCGTACCTGGCTCTCAGGTAGTACAGGAGGTGGTAACCAATCTTGGGCTGCTTCTGGTAGAGCTCAGAGAGGAGATCCAGCAGCAGGGAGAAGCCACTGTTGTCCTCCTGCATCTGGCACAGGTTCCTGAGGAAGGAATTGTCACATGGATGAGCTTCTCCACAGGGAAATGCCATTCCCAGTGCCAGGTGGTCCTGGACATGGGGACATCTCCCCCCTCCCCAGGAGTTTCAGTTCCCTAAACTTCTCCGAACATTCAGGTTTTCCTGTATCTTCCACCTAAAAAACACCACAGAGGCAGAAGGAAGCAATAAACTCTTGGGATTCTGGGATCAGCACTGGGATCCAGCAGCAGGGCTGGGACAGGATTGGAGCCAGGGAGCAAACAAGCCCTAAATTATCCAGGAATCTGGGAAGAGACATACCTAAATATTAGGTAGAGAGGTTTTCCCACGGATTCCTCCAGGGACCTGTGGGACAAACAGACACTCTGAGCTGCCTGGGCACCCACATTCCGTGTTTGCCCAGGAATGGCATGGAAAAGGCCTTGGATCTGGCTGAGGAAACCCTGGAGGGAGAGCACTGGGTGCTGCTTTGTGTGAGGTCAACAGAGGAACTTCCCAGACTGGTAAAACCCCAAATCCCAACGGGAAAGGATAAGACACAAACACAACTCCCAATCCTTACTCCTCTGTGATTTCTTCTGGCAGAACTTCCCCACGGAAGTGAGCCTTGAACAGCTCCTGGAGGCAGGAGGCAAGGCCAGAGAGCTGCTCCGAGTCAAAATCCTCCTGGGAGAGGGAGAGAGAGGAAGGAATGAGAGCAGAAATCCTGGGAAGGGATATGGGAGCATCCTCTTCCTGCCCAGCACAGGTGTGGTGGGAAGGGATATGGGAACATAGCCCAGATCCCTGCCAGAAATCCCAGATCCCTGACAGCAATCCCAGATCCCTGAGAGTGATCACAGATCCCTCACAGCAATCCCAGATCCCTGAGAGTGATCACAGATTCCTACCAGCAATCCCAGATCCCTGAGAGTGATCCCAGATCCCTCACAGCACTCCCAGATCCCTGAGAGTGATCCCAGATCTCAACCAGCAATCCCAGATCCCTGAGAGTGATCCCAGATCCCTCACAGCACTCCCAGATCCCTGAGAGTGATCCCAGATCTCAACCAGCAATCCCAGATCCCTGAGAGTGATCCCAGATCCCTCACAGCACTCCCAGATCCCTGAGAGTGATCCCAGATCTCAACCAGCAATCCCAGATCCCTGAGAGTGATCCCAGATCCCTCACAGCACTCCCAGATCCCTGAGAGTGATCCCAGATCTCAACCAGCAATCCCAGATCCCTGAGAGTGATCCCAGATCCCTCACAGCACTCCCAGATCCCTGAGAGTGATCCCAGATCTCAACCAGCAATCCCAGATCCCTGAGAGTGATCCCAGATCCCTCACAGCACTCCCAGATCCCTGAGAGTGATCCCAGATCTCAACCAGCAATCCCAGATCCCTGAGAGTGATCCCAGATCCCTCACAGCACTCCCAGATCCCTGAGAGTGATCCCAGATCTCAACCAGCAATCCCAGATCCCTGAGAGTGAGAACACTGAGTGATCCCAGATCCCTGAGAGTGATCCCAGATCTCTGCCAGCAATCCCAGAACACTGAGTGATCCCAGATCCCTGAGAGTGATCCCAGACCACTCCCAGCAATCCCAGATCCCTGCCAGCAATCCCAGATCTCCACCAGGCATCCCAAACCACTCCCAGTGATCCCAGATCCCTGCCAGCAGCTCCTGGGGACCCTCAGGCACCAGGACACGGAGCATGGATGGAGTGACCTCCCATCCTGGGCCTGGGCTGAACATTCCAGGCTCCCACACGGATCCCACAGGGATCTGTAACCCCCAAGTCTGTGTGTCCCAACTCCAGTGGCACAGGAGCAGTGAGTGGGAATTCATCCCACCCTGTCCTGCTGCTCCCAGTGCTGTGCCATTACCTCCAGGACCTGATCCACGATTTCCTGCATGACCTCACACTGAGCTTCCGTGTCGCTGCAGCACGAAAACAAGAGGAAATCCAAGTTACTGGGGAAGATTGGGAGAGCAGGGACAAGGGAGCTTTGGCCCCAGGGCTGGGAGGATGGGAACAGACTGGGAGGAATCTGCCTTGGAGCTGCTTCCAGCAGCACTCGGAGCTGCCTGGAGCGACATGGACACGTGAAGTGATTAAAAGCAGGAGATTAATTGCACTTCAAGCCATAAATTCCATGAAATCCGTGGGCTGAGCCAAGGTTTGCTGGGTGGAGCTCGCTGCAAGGGTGTTGGGAATCCAGGCAGGAGGAGAGGGCCATGGAGAAAACGTGGATACAGGTGTCCCTGCTCCATCAGGGATGCACTGAGCATTCCAAAGCCTCTGCAGCCTCTCCCCACCCCAATCCAACACCAGAGGGTGAAACTCGGAGCCTTTTCCCTCCCTATCCTTGATCCAGAGCCACACTGCAGCTCCCAGGAATTCCTCCTGGCCTGAGTCTGCTCTAAGGCTCTTCACCAGCACCTTCCCAACCTCTTTTCCTGCAGGAATTCCCTGAGTCAAAATCCTCCTGGGAGGGAGAGGAAGGAATGAGAGGAGAAATCAGGAGCTGAAACCCTGGGAAGGGCCATGGGAGCTGCAGGAGCTCTGGGAAAGGTTCTGGAGCTGGAAGGCCTCGGGAATGTTGTCCTGGAATGACCCATGGGAAGGGGAATGTGCCCAAGGGCACCGACCTGCCCTTCTGCAGCTGCAGCACTTTGTCCTTCAGGGATTCATCCAGCTGGTCCAGGAAGGGAGTGATGTCCACAGGCTCCTCCACAATGGTCTCCTTGATGGGATGAAACCTGAACTCCCTCTTTTTCCCTAAAACAGGGATAGCCACGGTGGAACAATGGATCTTCCCAGGGGTGAGGAGCACTGGAGGCAATGCCTGTCCTGGCAGTGTCCCTTCAGATCCTTCCCCCTTGGAGATGTGTCCAGGTGACAGGGAGGAAGGTGGGAGGGGACCCAAACACAGGAGGTGTCCAGGATTGTGTCCCTGGTCAGTCCTAATCCCAGACCTGATCCTTCAGCATTCCCAACTCGGGATCCCAAACACGTGGGATGAGCACTCAGTGCCACATCCCAGGCCCACGTCCCCTTCCCACTGCTGGGAAAACTCCTTGGCATGGCAGGAAACACATGAGGGTCCAACCACTGAGGCTGGAAACAGCTCCAGAGGGATTTGGGTGAGATCAGTTGGAATCTGGAGAGGACACACGGGTGGAAAAGTGTTCCAGGCTCTAGAGAATGGCCAAGCAAGACAAATCCAACAACTCTTCCCTTTGGGCACAGATCCATAGCCAACCCACTGGCTCTGGGGGCTGGGAAGGAGCACCTCAACACCCTCTCCTGCAGGAGGAAAGATGGGAAAGATCTTTCCCAAGGGATTTGCTCTAGGGAAAGTGGCTCTGAGGGAAATGTGTTTACAGCTAGTTTTCCAAGAGGGATTGGGGTTGGAAGCTCTGATCCCTCCTCACCTTTGCTGTTCAGGTCCTCCTCATCATCACTGAACGCGGCCTCGGCGTTGTCATAGCAACCATCGTCCTTCTCAGCCATGTGGTTGTCCATCTCCATGGGAACAGGCTCCTCGATTTTCACTGGGGATGCAGGGACAGAGGTGAGGCTGCCCCAGGGCAGGGCAGGCTGTGCCTCTGAGCCACCTCTCCCACAAAAAAACCTGCTCCAGGAACGGGAGCAAAGTGCTTGGGAATGGCAACAGGAGGGGCTGGGCAGGGGAAGGATCCTGGGGAAGCTCAGGAGTTCCATGGAGCAGAGGGAAGGGACAGTGTGCACCTGCAGTGAAGTGACCACAACCCCCTAAATCCAAGCCCTGGTCACTGCTGCTGCTGCAGGAATTCCAGGGAAAGGCTCAGCCCTGGGAGAGCAGGAGCAGCCATCCCTTCTCCCATCCCCTACCTTCGATGGGGGGAGAGGGAGAACTGCAGAACTCTGGGAATTTCTCCCTCAGCATCGCACGGAGCTCCTTGTCCAGCTTGGGGTTGTCGAAGAGAGGAGCCAAGTGCCTGGGACAGGGGCAGAAGGAACAGGGATGAGGAGGAGTTGGGATGGGGCATAGCCTTATCCCATTGGGAATGCTGTGGGGCTGATCAGGGTTTGCCATGGAACACCAGGTCCCACCTGCCCACCAAGAGTGGGAATGGGAGAAGAGGCCTGGGAAGGAAGCTGGAGCATCAGGACCAGCTCAGCCCATGGGAATTCCTACTGGTCCTTCACCCCCTCATCCCCTTCCTTCAAGAAACAGCTCCAGGACAACCCTCAGCACCAGGAAGACACCACTGGAGCTTCTTCCTGACACAACTATGGATTCTCCCATGGTTCATGGACAGCACAACCACCCTTGGAGCTCTGGGAGGGACCCAGGGAAACAGGTGCAGCTGTGCCAACGCAGGAAAATCCAGGGAAATGTAGGCAAAATGCAGCTGCCTTACGCCAGGACTCGCTTCTCCACGATGTGGGTGAGGGAGTTGAAGACTCCTTGCCGGACGTGAGCTTCCAGAGGGGGATAGAAATTGGGAATGATCTGCAAGGGGAAGAAGGATCATGTCAGTGGCAGGAAATCCTCCGGGTCGGAGGCTGCAGGAGTTGGGAGACATCAGATGGAGGTGAGAACACTCAGCTGTGCCCACACTTTGGTCCTGGAGGGAGTGAGGAATCCTCTCTGGATCCTGGGCCATCCCAAGAACCTCCCACCCAGCTCCTCTGCCAGGAGCCAGCAGCTGGTTTGGACTGGGAGGGACTGGAACGTGCAGGGTGTGAGGAGGAGGAGGAGGAGGAGGCAGAGAGTGATGCAAACCAGAGCATTTTCCAGTGCCGTGGACACTCTGCTTCCAGGAACTACCCTCAGCTTGGGATCCAAGTCCTGGAAGCAGCAGCTCCTGGCACTGCCTCCCCCAGCTCTAGCTCTGCTCCCAGGGGTGGGAGATGGTGGCTCATCCCTTGCTGTGGGAAAATTCTATTCCCCTTTGGAATGGTGTTGAGCCAAGCACTCCCTGAGCAACTCAAGGGAACAAGCCAGAAGCCTTTTCCTACATGGTTCCAGAAGGATTTGCTGGCAGTGTTGCCTTCCCATAATGAATGGCACGTGGGCCCAGTGCTCCAACCTCCAGGAATGGCTCTGGAGTTAGCCAGGAGGGTCCAGCAAAGCCTGTGCTCGTGTAAGAGGGGGAGAATTGGCACTGAGGGGAAAAATCCCACCCTAATTTGGGACAGGGATCAAAGGGATCGACAGCCACTCTGCAATCCAGAGGCTCAGGGCAGATCCTGGGTGATACCCTGAGGAATGTGGGGAAAGGAATCCCCAAGGATTCCCTTTTTGGCTTGGGATTTGTGGCCCGCAGAGGTTGCTTTCCCAGCCCTCACCCCTGATATTCCCTGGAAAACGAGGGGCACTCACCCTGCACATGAAGTCCAGCAGGGTGGCCGTGATGGCAGGGTGAGGCTTCATGGAGTGGTGCATCACCAGGATGGCAGGTTCTGTGGAGACAGCAGAGTCAGACCCCCAGAGCTGCCCAAATTCCCTGTGCCCTGGGCAGATCCATCTGCTCCGGGAGGGATCTGGACAGGCTGATCCATGGGATCCACAGGCTGAGGCCAGTGGAGAGTCAACAAGGATCAACCAGGCCAAGGGCAGTGTGGGCACCAGGGAGGCACTTGGAGCCCACGGCCTCAGGCTGTGCCAGGTTGGACATCAGGAGGAATTTCCTCATGGAAAGGGTTGTCAGGCATTGGAACGTGCTGCCCAGGGAGGTGGTGGAGTCACTACCCCTGGAGGTGTCCCAGGAACAACTGGACATGGCACTTAGTTCTCTGATCTAGTTGACCTTGGAGATCAGTCACAGGTTGGACTTGATGACCTCAGAGGTCTTTTCCAACCTCAATGATCCTGTGATTCCATGAGGAAACTTCCTTCTTTTGTGCCCTTATCTGCTGGGCTTTTCCCACCACATCCCTCCACCCCTGGAAGGAATGGAAGGATGGAGTCCATCCAGAGGAAGACCCTCATGGAA